TGCTGACGTCGGTGTTGTATGCCCTTGCAAATGTAGCATCGTGCGTTAAAGTTAAAGTTGTCACAGTTCGATACGAACCTAACACAATGTAAAAATTAATACGTTATCAGTAACATTCACAATTGACAATTAACAACTCACCAGTGTGTAAACATAGAATAACATGAAATTGAAATTCTAATAGTCCCAAAACTTGACCCTGAGTCCTATGACTAAATAAACATAAAACACAAACAGATATTTTTATAAAAGACGAAGATGACACATTGGGAAGGACCATTTATGTACTAAGACGTTTTCGAATTGAGTCGTAGATCCAAATACTTACCGTATGTTGATCTACGACAGTAGTCATTACAATATCAACATCATATATATCACAACAACTACAAAGGAAAGGTAAAGAAATTTGTCATTTATATAATAAAACAGTAATGTCGAACTCTTTGAGGTACGTAACCGAAATTTGGTCACGACGAAGAACCGTTCCTCTGGTCCTTCTCCTGCAGTTTACACTTTAGGAATTGGGGAGCGACGTGTGACCTGGCGGATACGGGTCCTAATGGAACTGTTCTATCGTGAAAATACTCATGGAAACACTTCCACTCTACGAACGTGATATAGAAGTGTCAAGTGTCATAACACATGTGTTTACAAACATAGTTACCTCTCGAATTGTAAAGGAATATTGGTTGTGTCAAATATACCTTACTCAAACCTAGTTGAGTAAATTATTTCAGTCAATTCAATTGTTGTTGAATGTCGCTGACAAAAGTTAGGTAGGTTTAGAACACCCTGTTGTTGAACTAGGTCATAAATAGGAAACTATGTCGGTCTTTCGTCAGTAAGCTCGGTAAATAAACCCAAACCGTTTGATATAAAAACACTCTGTTGATTGTGTGTAGGAAAGATGGACAATTGACAGTGATAAAAATCGACGTTTCATAATGTTTTCAACTTTCATTAACGTTTATAATCCCAATACCTGTTGCAAACTGACAAATAATAAAATCGTTTGATGTATGTTATTTATGTAAAATTTGTGACTCATACATCGGATTACTCTGTACCGAATGAGACGTCTCCCCTGAACACCTGTAAATTGACAATAATAAATAGTCCTTTATCAATCCCGTTCAAATGCACTTAAACTTTTGGTAAAACCCATAACACGATGGTGAACGCGTAAGTAACATATGTTTAACTTTCAACTTTCAACAATACAGTTCCATCAATCCAAACTACTGACTTTACATAACAAATCCGAACTCGGTAGGGAATTCGTTAAAGAAAATCGGTTTGGCAAGGATTTGCCAAAGGAAATAGTTGCGGGTTTCCCTCTTTATAAAACTCCAATTACCATTCTCGTGTTATGTACTTCTGCTAGGGTCAACTGGTGTATAAGTCAAACCGTCAAGACATAATTCCAGTACAAAGAGCCCAACATTTGTTTTCGTCAATAGGTCACGTAGGTCTCCAGGGAAATGTAATGTTAAATACAAAAATAGGTTTCGCCTGAACGATGAATAACTAACGTGAATACGTTTTGGCAAACGCAGTCAGAGTATTTAAGACTTGTTTTAACACACCTACATTTATTACATCCCTGTATGTACGTTGTGCAGATATACAACACAGATGGCTGTTTAACTGTACAGTGTAGTGTACCTTACATTCTGTGTTTAGCCTCTTTATATAGCGTTTTTGTTTTGGTATTTACCAACCCTGACCTATTTATGGTGATAAAGAGGACGATATTTGAAACTGACGTGTGTCAGGATACTGTACTGCTCATATAAAAAACTGGGACAGACCTTTGTATGGAATTCGTGCGACATAAAGAATAAAGATCTATATACTCAATTGGAGAAAACAGAATTCGTTCAGTTCTGGTTGTAAACAAATTGAACGTGTCCAACCTGTGTCCTGAGGTGACCGGTCCCCCAACGCCTTCTAGGACTCCTTCTCTGTTCAGTGCGACTTGGAGTGTGGGACACTGGGTAGACTTGGTCTTTTGTTGACCGTCCTCGTCCCTGGTGTCTCTCGGTCCACGGTCTCTGTTCGTGGCACGTCCACCTCCACGACTTCTGGGGGAGGCACTTCGTCACGTTGGTAGTATCTCCACCCCGTCCTCCTGTCGGGGTCGCCCTACTACCCTCTGTCCGATGGTGGTGCCTCACCAAGTCCGACACGGTCCTATTTTATCTATCTACCTTAGCTTCCCTAACTTTGCGGAGAAATTACCAGGTGTGTACGTCTCGTTGTCGTGTGTGTCACTGTACCAACAAGAGGACTCTAAACGTCGAAGAATCATCAATACTTTTCAGTTCTCACAAACCAGGCCTATAAAAGATTTTTCATAACATCCATTAGAACAACTGTCAGTAAGAAGTGTTATAGAGTCTTTGTGGATTTAACGTGAAGAACCGTAAAACCTTATTACTAAACAACGTTATCCATTATACTATTATTGTTGTTAATCGAATAGATTTATTGTTAAAGTGGATGTTGAAGTATTTATACTTTCCTTTACCACTATGAACGCCATACACATTATAGGAATCCATGAGCCTTTATATATTTATAATTATGCAAATCTTTTTACGTCAGAAAGTAGCGACTTGTCTGTACACCAATGATATACTCAATATGGAAAAAGTGTTGGTTTTTACGTTTCGTTGTCGTCCGAAATAAAATGTAAACTATTTTAGTGTTTTATTTGGAGGATACACTAACACATTAGTTTGCTTTTCCCAGAATGGTAACCATCGCAACCCGTCATCCAGCTAAATGTAAGTTTTACTAAATCCGAGTACAGAGTATATAACATGCTCTCCAACCTATAGTAATATAACACCAGATTCCGGATTTCGTTAGGGCTGGTATCCCCATTTGATGTTGCAGCTTTCGTGAGTACGTTGTTGCAGTACGTCGTATAACATTTTGAAATATCGAGTTCTTGAACCTAAATCATGCTGTGACAGGGTATTACTTGTATGCCGCTGTATTTGCATCCAAAACTTAGTTTTCAATTTAAGTAAATTGCAATGTCTCGTGTCTGTACAATTATAAAATACTTTTCATAAGGAATGTGGTTATTTCATACCTCAGTTAATATCTGCGGTTCTGTATGTTTGTAGATTTGAAGTATCTAGTTAGATGTACGTTCAATCTCAGCCAGTTATTGCTGCTTTTTATTAGTCTAAGTGTCATTATTGTGGATAACGTATGTATCATCTCTACGTACGTAAACACCTGCACACTAAACTCCCCGTTCTTGAACTCCAAATTCCGACTGGTACCACAGACTTGACATACATTGATATGTGTCATAATAAGATGTAAGTAACGTTGCAGGTGTGTCGACAGTCCTGTGTCCCAGGCCTCACCTGTGTCACTGAAACCAGGATCTTGCGTTTTTCTTTTTAAGTCGCTA